GCTCCCGCCGACGGCGGCTCGCTCCTCTCGGCGGCGGGACGGCCCCGCGTGGAGCGCCCCGGCGACGGGGGCGGGGCGGGGCGGGAGGGGCGCAGGCAGGAGCGGATCCGAGAGAGGGGGGGGGGGGCCAGACACCCCTGGAAGTCCCGACCCTTTCCCTGGGACAGGCTTTTCGTCCTGAGTCGTTCTTTCGCGGCCCCGAGGCCTGGCGAGGGCTCCCCGAGGCCGAGCACTGGCAAAAACCTCCCGCCCTGATTATGTTTTGAAGCCCAGGCCTCTGGGGGTCGACGCTGCGAGCAAGTCACGACGCCGGCAGTCTGGAGTGGGCGAGGCGAAGGCGAGGCGGCTCGTCAGGCGGGGCGGTGCGGGGCGGGAGGGGCGCAGGCAGGAACGGATCCGTGAGGGGGGCGGGGGGGCCCAGACACCCTCGCGCTGCGAAAAAAACACGACGGGAAGCGTTTCGCCTCTTTTGGGGTTTCGGGGGGCTCTTACCCGGCCTCGGGGCCGTCCAGGAACGACTCAGGACGAAAAGCCGGTCCAGAGAGAGGGGTCCCCAGACATGCGGCGTTCTAATTGTTTCAATACGGGGTCCCTGGAAGTCCCGACCCTTTCACCGGGACTGGATTTTCGTCCTGAGTCGTTCTTTCACGGCCCCGAGGCCTGGCGAGGGCTCCCCGAGGCCGAGCACTGGCAAAAACCTCCCGCCCTGATGATGTATGTATGTCTGTCTGTCTGTCTGTCTGTCTGTCTGTCTGTCTGTCTGTCTGTCTGTCTGTCTGTATGTCTGTATGTCTGTATGTCTGTATGTCTGCATGTCTGCATGTCTGTATGTCTGTATGTCTGTATGTCTGTATGTCTGTATGACTGTGTGTGTATGTCTGTATGTGTGTGTATGTATGTATGTGTGTATGTATGTGTGTATGTATGTATGTATGTATGTACGTACGTACGTACGTATGTATGTATGTATGTATGTATGTATGGATATATGGATATATGTATGGATATGGATGTATGGATGTATGGATGTATGGATGTATGGATGTATGGATGTATGGATGTATGGATGTATGGATGTATGGATGTATGGATGCATCGATGTATGGATGTATGGATGTATGGATGGATGTATGGATGTATGGATGTATGGATGTATGGATGTATGGATGTATGGATGTATGGATGTATGGATGTATGGATGTATGGATGCATGGATGCATGGATGTATGGATGTATGGATGTATGGATGTATGGATGTATGGATGTATGGATGTATGTATGTATGTATGTATGTATGCATGCATGCATGCATGCACGCATGCATGCATGCATGCATGTATGTATGTATGTATATATACACATACGCTCGTGCTTTACCTTGTTCACTTTGATTGTGCGCCGTGTGCGGCACCAGCGTTTGCACGGAGACTTGACCGCGTGGTGGAGTCGACTCTTCTTGGGGGCCACACTCGTCGTGAGGGGCGGATGGACGAGGCGAACCCTCGATCTGCACCTTCCGCACCTTTCGCGCGGAAGGTGCCGTCGCGCAGCGGCCGCAACGGCCGCCCCTGCAGCCTCGGCGGTGGCCGCCGCGATGCGGCCGCGGCGGCGGCCGCGGCAGCGCGGCACCCGCCGCGCAGAAGGTGCGGAGGGCGCCAGGCGTCTGAATTTTGTTTCGAGCCGAACGTTTCCACCTTTCTCGGGCCCCGGGGCCCTCGCAAATGGATCCGGCTCGAAAAAGGACGCAGAAAGATCCGGTCCGGGGCTCCGGTCGTTGTTTTTGTGCGATGCTGCCTTTTCTGTTGCAACGGCGGATCTCAGGGTCGAGGGAAGGCGGAGCGTCTCGTCGGGCGAGGCGGAGGCGAGGCGGCCTGTCGCAGCGGCACGCGGCAAGGCGCGTCGGGGCGGGGCACTCTCTGCAGCGGCTGAGACCGTGCCACCGCCCGCCCTTTTGGCGAGCGCGGCTCCCAGCACTCCCAGAAGGCGCACACGGCTCCAGTCCACAATGTCGCAGAGCGCTGCGGCAAGGCTTCTCGCAACCAGGGCGGGGCAGGCACTCGACAAAGACAACACCGGCTGCCGCTGCCTCCCCTTCTCGCACGTGCCGACCCCGCAGCGTCGTGGGCTCAAACCTTCTTTCCCTCACGTCGCCTGGCAACAACAATGCCCGCTGCCGCTGCCCGCCTTCATCTTGCTCCCACGTCGATCCGCGGGTTCATACCCTTCGGCTGCAGCTTCGTCACCACCGTCGATCCCCTCATCCCCATGCCTGGCTGCCGCGCCCGCGCTGATCGAAGCGCAATGGCTGCTGTGGGCTTCGATCTAAACTTCGCTCAACATACTCTGCTGAACAGCGACAGCGTCTGCCGTGGCTCTCCTCCCCGCTCGCACGCGCTGATCCCAGCGGTGTAGCTAATTACGTCTGGCTCCAGCTTCACACCCCGCAATTCCCCGAACAACCACATTGCCTGTTGCCACAGTCCGTCTCTCTCGCACGCGC